CAGGGATGTTTGACATTTTTAGATTCAGCCAGTCTCTAACATCACTCCAGAACTGGCATGAAATGGAGCAGGTAAAAAATAAGTGTTCTAGAGATTCATCAGTAAAATCACAAAAAGCACCATGTCAAATTTAAATCGCTTATGAAGAAAATTGGAAACTGGATAGATCTTATGACAAATTTTCTTTGACTTTAGGCGGAATTGGCCATTTAACATATTTAGAGAAGGCTTTACCCAGCATATCAGAATGGTTTACAGACACATTGTTTTTATTATAACCATGGAACAATTTAGATTTAAAAGCATCCGTAGCAACCCTATTATTTAATTTTTTATCAACTAATTTATGATGACCAATTGATAAATTCGGCAATACTGGAGTGACATCAGAGTAAGTCAAAGTATTCTGGATAAGGTGGATGAAGGCTACCGGAATAGCTTTACACATTTTTTGATACTCTCTATGAGTACAGTTTATATTAGATCGTACAACAAAGCTGGTGTGATCCAGTAGAACACCTTTACAATCCATCAAGTCCGTTACAAAGAGAATTCCTTTGTCAACACAACCTCGCCATCGCTGGCAGCGTCGCGGGTCTGTTTTCAACTAGCGCGCCACTGTCAGGCACTTCCGGTACACTCTTAAAAATAAAGGTGCTTCAAAAGGTTCTTCAAGCGATGCCATAGAAGAACCATTTTTAGTTCCACAAAGAACCATTCAGTCAAAGGTTCTTTAAAGAACCATCTCTTTATTACCTTTTTATAATCTCAAGAACCTTTATTCGCCACAAAGACCCTTTTGTGAAACAGAAAGGTTCTTCAGATGTTAAAGGTTCTTTATGGAACCATTTAGACAAAAAGGTTCTTCTATGGCATCGTGAAGCACCTTTATTTTTAACAGTGTGTATGTCAGATATGTGTGCAAGGCCGTGCAGATTCCTTTGGTCTTCACAACAGCTTGAAACAAGCATAGATTTGGCAAAATATAAAGAATATAAAGAAATCAATAATTACATTCTGTGCATAATTTATGTGAATGCCCCCTTATTATTTTTTTTTACCATAATAATAGCTACTGTTGCTTTATTCTTAATTTTCTGCTGTTGCAAAAGTTGTAGATTACTAAATAATCACATTTTACTTTTTTTTTTTTTACAACTGGGTCAGTTTTATTAAGCTACTAATGTTTTCAATACTAATTACTATAGGCCTATATGTCATATATAGTAATATGCCTACTAGTAGCTACTATAAATGATAGCTTCAATTGTAACATAACACTAATACTAATACAAATAAATAATACTCAGTGAAAGAATGTACTTAACCTTCACATGGTGAGCCTCAAGAAGTCAAACTAAATATTATATGAGCTATTGCATTTTCTATTCATTTTTTATGTGTTTTGTAATTTTTGCAACCCTGTTACCAAAACTCACATTCAGCAGAACAACTTATTTTGTGTTACAGTTTAAAACAAAAGTCTTTCTTAGAGGTTTAAAAAGACATGAGGGTGAGCAAATTATTTTATTTTTGGATAAACCTTTTTTTTTTTTAATCTAGCTTCTTTTCATGTTAGGTTCATTTTATGTTAGAAAACAGTTTATAACATTTCTAATAATTCTCACAGCAATACACATTGGATTTGTGACTTTCATGCTATATAAAAGTTATGAGACACCAAAGTGTACCATATTTGTTGAATGTGCATGTAACCACATGAGGAGCATCACAGTCTTAGATGACTAGATGACCTACAAGGCATCTTTTATTGATTTCTTGGTTGGCATTTGTACTGTGACTCTTTTCACAGCTAGAAATGTCACTGTTCATTACAACACTGATACCTTATAAACCACACTGTTTACACACAAGAAAAAAAAATATTTTTTTAAATACAGTGAGATGAGTACAGTGATCTGTTTTATTTTCCAAACATGATCAGTATACTAAATATTTTTAGGCATAATTGCAACCTCAAAAATAGTATCATATAGATCTATAATATATGGTGTTCAAAGACTCTAAAGCTTTATATGATTTTGCAGGTTATATTTATTTGGTGACTAAGATTTTCTCACTCTGGACGGTGACATATGACAACACGGTAGGATCCTCAAAAGTGAGAATTAAAAGACTTCTAGATTTTGATAGACGGCTCAGCAGGCACACATCTTTTTATGGATTATAAGCGGTAGGTGACAGAGGACAAAGCTGTGATATTGTATGATTTTAGAAAGCTGTGATAAATAATAAAATTAACACTGCACATATATTTATTTTTTCTATTAAAAGACAGTTACATAACAGACTCACACCCCAAACTGTCTTATCTAGTTAAGTATTAGAAACATACATTTTCAAAAACGGCTTCAAAATTCAAGTTTTCAGTATGGGTGTGCACAGTTGACATTGTAGAACAAAACATCGAAGTATTGTCATGTTTACCATAGGCTTTATTTTACTCATAAAAAAAAAAAAACAAACATTATAAAACTCCAGTTATTATAAAGCCATTATAAAACTAATAGTTGACCCCAAAATGAAAATTTGCTGAAAATGTACTCACCCTGAGGCATTACATCACTTGCTCACCAGTAGATCCTCTGCAGTGAATGGGTGCCATCAGAATGTCCACAAGAATTCAACATGTATCTATCAATTAACATTTTGTAAAAAACAAACAAACTGTGTGTTTGTAATAAACAAATCCATCATCAAGATGTTTTTAACTTCAAACCGTTGCTTCTGTCTAAACTATCCTCTATCCATAATATTGCTTTCTCCATTGAAAAATTGTCTCACCGGAATCAGGAGAAAAATATGCATCAAACACCGTTTACAAGTGAAAACAGTTTTAAACAAATATGCTGGTGGATTTTGATGTGAGAGGATAACAGGGGATGGTCTTTTCAGTGGTAGAAGCATTATTATGGATTAAGGATATATTTCCCAGAAGCAATGGTATAAAGTTAAATCATCTTAATGATGGTGTTTCTTACAAACATGCAGCTTTTCATTTCATAAGACATTAATCAACTGATCAACTCAAGCCGTGTGGATTATTTGTGGATTATTGTTTTAGCAGCTGTTTAGACTCTAATTCTGATTGCACCCATCCTCTACAGAGGATCCACTGATGAGCAACTGATGTAATGCAAAATTTCTCTAAATTTGTTCCAATGAAGATAATATTTTTTTATGGAATATTGCAGTGTGTAATTAATCTGTGCATATCATAGTTATTATTCATATTTTTTAATTTGTCTTGCAACTCCATCCCTTCTCTGATGACGTGTTCACTGGCATGAAGGCAGGGAAACAACTTCTTCCCTCCAGCAACCTGTCACTCACATGAGATCGCAGCAATTAGCAAACAACAACAATCTAATGATCCAATCAGTTCCTGATCAATAAAATCAGTTCCCACCCATTCATTTTTCTTCTCATCAGAGAAGCGTTTCACTAAGATATTCATCACAATAGAGAAGAAAGACGAACAGAAATTATGATAAAATACAATGAATATATATATATATATATATATATATATATATATATATATATAAATTTTGCTGCTTATTTGTCAAACACTTATACAGGAAAAATAACATGAATATATGTATGTGTTTATCTCTGTTTGTTTTCATTATTAAGCATATTTAAGATATAAAGACACTTCAGAATATAAAGATACTGATGTGGAAAAAAATTATTCAACTTGCATGACAAGACTGTGCTGATCTGAGAGTTTGATAACTTTTAATAAAGATAACTTTTCAGCTTTTGAAGGGCATTTTATCTGCTTAAATTGAAACATACCTGACAGACAGATTTTGTGGCATCAGTCTTTAAATTCCTTAATGCTGAGTGTATTAATTTTGTCCCAGGCCTGAGAATTCAAGCTACAGCATATCCTAGTTATGCAAAAGACAGAGAAACAAGTACAAACATAATTAGCGTAGCTGCTGTTCCAACCAAGCAAAAATGATTTGTTTAACCCAAACTAACGAATAATAATGTGCATTTGATTAGATATAACTGCAGTAAAAGATTATGACTGCAGTAAAAGATTATGAGATGCATTATTTGAATGCTTGGCCAAAGAGATGTGTCTTTAATCTAGATTTAAACAGAGAGCGTGTGTCTGAACCCCGAACGTTATCAGGAAGGCTATTCCAGAGTTTGGGAGCCAAATGCGAAATGTGTGTGTGTGTGTGTGTATAGTGACTTTGTAAAACTTTTATAATTAAAAAAATATTTATCATTTCAATTCATATGAATTTGATTGACAAGTTAGCATGAATTAAATTATATGATTTTATAGATAATTCACTCTCAGATAATATAAGTGTTAATGATATTAATAAATGATTGACACCATTTGTAAGTCATAAGGGATTAGATCCTAATATGAAGCCGATGTGTAGACATTTTTACATATATACATGCATACATACATACAAAAATGAATGAATGAATGAATGAATGAATTAAAAACCCCAACACCCTCCCTCTGCATATTTCACATATCACATAAATAATAGATATCACATTTCAAATAACCCACTGTTTAATAAACACTTTAAAAGGTAACAAAATGCAATCAAAGTTTCAAACCTGGTCAAACTCATATTAGTATGTGATGGTTTGCACACCAAATGTGAATTTGTTGGCTATTATAAATGAATGATGAATTAATGAATAAACTTGACCCCCTTTCCCATAATACATAAATAATGTATAATACCACATTTCAGATAATACAGTTGACTGAATATGCTATAATAAATAATCTGCTACATAGCCTAATTAAGATGTTAAACCTATATTAATATGCTATATAGTATATGGTTTGTTGTCTGCAAAATGTGAATTTACATATTTATGTTGGCTAGCTCAAATAAACAAATCAACTAATAAATTAAATCCAAGTCCAGACACCCTCCTCCCTCTTGTTATTGTTTCTGAATCTTTTCCCATAATGCAACAGTCAACAAAGGAAGAGGGAGAGAAACGGGCTGTAGCCAAAGTGGCTAGTGGCTAGCAGCTAGCACAAAAAAGAGGAAGAGAGAAATGGAGCTGTCATAAAACTTTAAGGAATGTTTCTCTCATCAAACGGGCAAGTACAGCTGAGGAGAAAACAGCCTCGGCTCTTCGCGTGCACGAGATGATGACAGACCATCAGCAGTGGGTGTTTATGAAGTGAAACAGCTTTTGTTCGTGCGAGGGAGCTGTTAGATTAGATTAGCAGCTAGCAGTCTGTTATTAGCACGCTAATGCTAAATGCAATCCTCGTTTTCAGATTTACAGACACATTCGACCCAGATCCATCTTTCTGAAGGAAGAGAGGGGAATTAAACTCTATTTAAAGTGGTAAGTGGGTATAATTTGTTGTATGTACGACGTTAATATTTATACTCTACGTGTGTCCGACACGATGAAGGTCCAGTAGCCTGCTAACGTTAGCCAAGTCAGATCATTTTAGGCCTGTTTTTCTTTTCTTTTTTGCGAGACAAAGTTACAGAGATTGATCTGACAGTCCAAAACTTTAAAATGTATTATAATTGATTAATGTTTATTTTTTTAAGTTCTGTGTTGCTTTATGGTTATTGAGTTAACGTTAGATACTGTCCTATCATATGCAAGTTAAATGTGTTGATATAAAGGCCTGTGTCAGTTCTGCAGTAAACTGCTGTTTTTGAGGATTATAAGAATGATTTTAAGTAAATGCATTCAAAGCAATAATTTTTGGTTTTAAATTTTGTGAAGGACGTAAACTGATCTATTGATTTCATGTCAACATATTATTTATAACCGCCTTATTATCCTTCGAGATTGCACCTGGTGTTGATTTGAGCATTGTAACATTTAAATCAAGTGATAAACATCAGATGTCAGATCGGACAGCTTTGTAACGTTATATATTACAGTTTAAACCTGTGTCAGGGATCTATAATGTTACACGTTTGAAATGTAAACTTAAACTCATCTGACAGCCTACTTTAACATCAAATATGTCTCAGAAGTAAATTTCGATGAGAAGTGCAAAACAGTTAAAGTACTAATGGTGTTTTTGTAAATATAAGCATTATGAATACATTTAATTTGTGGAATTGGCATTGTAAATTAGATACATTAAAAACTAGATCATGATTATCTAGTTAAAGGAGTAGTTCACTTACAGATTAAACATTTCCTGATAATTTACTCTCCCCCATGTCATCCAAAATGTTCATGTCTTCCTTTCTTCAGTCACAAAGAAATTAAGGTTTTTGAGGAAAACACTGTAGGATTTTTCTCCATATAATGGACTTCAATGCAGGGCTCCTGACTGCGACTAAAATGGTTGCATTTGCGACCAAAAATATTAGTTTGCGAGAAGTTTTTGCTGAGGTCGCCATTGGCGACTATATACAGTGGAGTGAAAAAGTGTTGGCCCCCTTCCGGATTTCTTATTTTTTTGCATGTTTGTCACACTTTAATGTTTCAGATCATGAAACAAATTTAAATATTGGTAAAAGATAACACAAGTGAACACAACATGCAGTTTTTAAATGAAGGTTTTTATTATTAAGGGAAAACTAAATCCAAAACTACATGGCCCTGTGTGAAGAAGTGTTTGCCCCCTAAAACTAATAACTGGTTGGGCCACCCTTAGCAGCAACAACTACAATCAAGCGTTTGCGATAACTTGCAATGAGTCTGTTACGGCGCTGTGGAGGAATTTTGGTCCACTCATCTATGCAGAATTGTTGTAATTCAGCCACATTGGAGGGTTTTCGAGCATGAACCGCCTTTTTAAGGTCATGCCACAGCATCTCAATAGGATTCAGGTCAGGACTTTGACTAGGCCACTCCAAAGTCACTGTGGTTCGCTGGAGTCCCAAAGCTTTAGAAATAGCTTTATAATAGGGCTGGACGATATGGCCAAAATTGATATCATGATATATTTATTCATTTCGGTCGATACGATATAATTCCGATATCGATATGAACACTATTTATCTGAAATAGAAATCTTTTGTAACATTATAAATGCATTTATCATCACTTTTGATCAATTTTAAGCATCCTTGCTAAATAAAAGTATTAATTTCTATAATTTCTTTCCCAAAAAATTAATAAAAATGATACTGAATGGAATAGTGTATAATG